CCACAAAAATAAGAATCAAGAGAATGCAGTAATCCAATCATAAAGGATGGTCAGATGTGCTTACACATGTTCAAGAAATCAGTCACCTAAGTTATAAATAATGAGTAGTTCATTTGTGTCCTTTTTTTTTTAGATTCCACATATGAACGATATCATATGGCAATTTTCTTTCTCATTTATTTGTTTATTTTCCTAATGGAGGTACTGGGGATTGAACCTAAGACCTTGGGCATGCTAAGCACACACTCTACCACTGAGCTATGCCCTCCTGCCTTGTATAGTTTAATTTTGCATGAAAATATCCATCAGTGGCTGTTATCAGTTCTCTGGGGTCACCTCCACTGCCCCCACCCTGGAGGGTCCCATCCCCCCTCCGCATCCCCCTTCCCGGCCCTTTGCCTCCTGTCTGCCTCCTCAGAGCCTGCCTCATACTCTGGGTTGCCTGGTGGGAGCCCCTGACTAGAGCACACACTTCTGCGAGCAGGGCCTGGGCACCCTCCGCCCGCCTGTCTCAGCCCCAGTGCAGAGCTGTGCCTCAGTGGGAGTGGTACTGAGTCGGGGCGACCGTAACAGCAGGACCAAGAAAATGTTTCTGTTCAGGGTATGGGACTTGTCTTCCCCATGACCTTTTATAAAATATTTATTTTATTAATTTTTTGTTTTGTTTTTGTTTTGGGGGTAGGTAATTAGGTTTATTTATTTACTTATTTATTTTAATAGAGGTAGGTGCTGGGAAATTGAACCTAGGACCTCGTGCATGCTAAGCATGCACTTTGCCACTGAGCTATTCCCTCTTCCCAACCTCATGACCTTTTTTAAATATTTTTTTTAAAAACTGAAGTATTGTCAGTTACAATGTGTCGATTTCTGGTGTATAGCATAATGTCCCGGTCATGCATATGTATACACATACTCGTTTTCATATTCTTTTTCATTAAAGGTAATTATAAGATATTGAATATCGTTCCCTGTGCTATACAGAAGAAATTGCCTTTTTTAATCTATTTTTATATTTAGTAGTTAACATTTGCAAATCTCAAACTCCCCCATGACCTTTAAAAAGTGAAAAAAACTCTTCCACTTTGAAAAATGCTTGCACACCCACAGCCACACAGACACACACGCACACCGTGATAATACAGCCGTGTGCCAGGCACTGACATGCACCTTATATATACCAAGTTCATGTGCTAGTGTGCCCTGACAGCAAGCCATGCTGATGCCTGCTGTACAGACGGGCAGACAGGCCAGGGAGGCTGGCTGACGGCTCTAAGTCACACTCTGGTGAGTGTGCAGCTGGGTTTTGAATCCAGGCAGCCAGGCTCCTGGATTCCTGCTCTTAAATGATGTTTGTTCTACCTCTCAAACTTCTCCCCTTTGTTGTGAAGGCAGGTCATATGGATTGAAAGAAATTTATAAAACCTTGAAAATAATTTAGAAATTTTAAACGAACAGTAATGTTGCTGTCAAGGAGCTGCTGCTGTTAGCAGTTTGCTGTGTTCCTTTCTAGTTTTTCTCTGGACACGTTCTGGTACCACGTTTCCAGTAGCTGCTAAAAATTCCAGCATATGGATTTTCATACTTTACTTAGTCATATCCTCACCATAAAATATTTCATCTCAGCCTTCCAATAACCGTTTGACCAACTTCTCTCCTCTCTTCACTTGTGCTCGTCCCTCGCCTGGGTTTCCTTTTAATTAGAGTCAGGGGTCACCAGAGAGTTTATTGGCAGCTTCATAAGACTTTTTTTTTCAGTAGAATGATTTCAGAATCTCTGAGGGTGGTACTCATTCCTCCCCTACAGACACAGACTGCTTCTCACCTTTCAAATACGGTCACTTGGAAGTGAAAACGGTTCCTTGGAACTTACCATCCAAGACATCTAAGGTGACACAGGTATTCATGGAGAAGGACACGTGTGGCCCCTACGAAGAGGCCACATGAAATCAGCCGATCGTTGTTAAAACATAGAGTAACCACCTTTCTCCCCTGGCAGGTGAAATGGCTCCAACAGCAGGAAGTTAAACGCAGGGTGAAGAGACAGGTGCGAAGTGATCCCCAAGCCCTTTATTTCAACGACCCTATTTGGTCCAACATGTGGTACATGGTGAGTAGGGTGTGAGCCTCTGTCCCTAAGCATTCTCAGTGCCGGGGTCCTAAGACGGGTTAATCTCCCTGGTACCAAGCTGAATTCTCATGACAGCTCTGAACAGACACTTCATTTGAGTATAAAACCCCCACTTTCTTGCTGTGCGGTCCCAGGTTTCTTGTGAGTTTTTTAAATGATATGAAAAGCTTGGGCGAGGGGCTGTCTGAGTAGGGGAGCAGAGGATGCACACTGTAGTGCTAACAATTCGGTGCAAGGAGTCCTCGGACCAAGACCCCTGGGGGGAGGTGACTCCGAGGAAGATGACAGACAGGTCGCGGGGGACAGAAGAAGTGGGAGCCCTCCACATCGACTCTCCTGGAAGTGGGTGGTGGAGAGGGGGCCCCGCTCTGTCTCCTGTTCGCTTGCAAGCATGGAGGCGCCCCGGCTGGGTTCGCGGGTCTGTCCGTCCATGTCAGGGGTGTGCCTGCTGGGGCCTTCATGTCTCCTGTGCCTGCAGCATTGTGGCGACAAGAACAGTCGCTGCCGGTCGGAAATGAATGTCCAGGCGGCGTGGAAGCGGGGCTACACGGGGAAGAACGTGGTGGTCACCATCCTGGATGATGGTATAGAGAGGAATCACCCCGACCTGGCCCCCAATTACGTAAGTCTGGCCTTGGGACTGACAGGCAGAGATACAGCCGTGCTGATCGGTAAACAAGGACAGATTTAAAAACCAGTGAGATGCCTGGTCCCCTGTTAGATTGGACGGTACAGACAACCACGCTGCGGGGGCTTCTGAAACCAGCCTCCCCCACCGTCCCGGCACCAAGGGTCTCACAGAGGGATTTGCCCACATGTTAGAGGATTCACACGTACTTCTGGGAATGGGTCCTAAGAAACTCAGAAATGCGTGTGTTGAGGAGTTCATCAGGTCGACATTAGCAACATAAAAATGGGCAGGTTTGGGGGGAGGGTATAG